GCCCGCTCTCCACCCTACAGCAAACTGCATGGGAGAGAGATGCTGGTGGCATAGCCTGATGAGCCTTTCCTGAAGCCTCTGAGGTCAGGGAGGGCCCTGGGCTAGCTCCTGGCTTGAACCCCAGCACCCATGTCTCCCTGAACACCCATGGGTGCATGCTCAAGGCTGGCTACTTCCCCTGTCCTGCATGCCTTCCTGAATGCCAGCCCCGCAGTGTTCCCTGGAGCAGTGGCATGCGGATGTGCGGCAAGGTGCTCCCTGCTTGCCAGACCATGATGTGTCAGTGCTCCCGGAGCAGCAGCTGCTCCTCAGTTTTCCTGCTTTTCCATGCTGCTGCAGGGTCAGGCTTCTCCTGAGAGCAGGTGCCTGATGCTGATGGTGCAGCTGGCACATAGGTTAGAGGGATGAGGCATATGGGGGCTCCTTGCGAACTTGCACACCTGCGTGGTTTCAGAGTACCCAGAAAATATTAAGGCAATTTAATTGCTAAGCCTGGAGGTTTTTAAAATACACTCCAAATGCTGCATAATGTCTATAACCCCAATTTTCCTGTCCTTCAGGAGTATTGCTGCTTTGGGGTAGCTGGATACAACATTGTATAATGGATACAACAGTGTTGCACCATGCATGCCTAACTGCAGGAAAAATGCAACTTGCAGTCTTCCCTGGAGGTTGCATACTGCCAAGTGTGGCTGGTTAACACTGGTTAATTGGTTTGCAGTGTAAGGGTGGTTTTTAGTTTGTACTCTGTGGTGGCAGTAGTGACCAGAGGCTGTGGTCTGTGAGCCGGTTGACTGAGAGCCTGCCTCTGAAGAGCCGTGACTCAGGAAAGCTAGCTTGCTGTCAGCTGGCACCCCACTGCTCTGTGGAGGGCTTTGCTTTTACCAGGAAAACCTTAGGGAGCTTGCAAATGGGAAAAGATTGAAAGCCTGCTCTGCCTTTCCAGAGGTGAAGTGAGATCATAAAATTATCATTTTGGTGCGCTGATGGTTTTGTGGATTATTAATTGTATTTTTTTCATTTTCACGTCATTCTCTTGCTTCTTTCCTGTCCACCTTTGTCTTTCTCTTTGAATATATGTGCAGTTTTTTGAGATCCAAAATTCTTTATTGATCTAATACAGTGTTGAAGTGGGGTGACTTTGAAAACACTGCAGGGTAGCTTAGTGAATTCATTTTAAATTAGTGTTTAACACACTACATCTTCTTTAAAGATCCCAAACATTCTGTGAGCAGTGTTGTGGTTATGGCTGTTTTCAGAGAACTTGAGAGTTTGCAGGAAAAATCATCCTAGGGGGTAAATATATTCTACTTGTTTTCACTACAAAAGGGAGTAAGCTGTTACTGTCAGTGTTTGTGGGAACACAGCTGTCCATCCATTCGTGAGACCTTGTGGTATATGATAATACTCCTATGGTCATTTTTTAGATACTGAAGCATGGAAGTGAAACTCCCTTGTTTCATTATGCAGCTATATGCAAATAATCCTTTTTTCTCCCTTTTTTTTGATGTTATTTCTGACAATTTTTGAGGCATTTCACAGCACCCCTGGTAGATTGGCCCAAAACAAGAGAAGGCAGTCCTGGAAGTTCAGCCTGGCTCATACCAGAGTGTGCTGCCTCACTTGCTTTGTTGCAAATTCACATCAACCCACTGGCATGATAATGTGGAACAAGCTGTGGAGTCATCTGCAACTTTGCTTAATCTTGAGCAGTCAGGTTGGCAAGAGAGTGGAAAATGCTCTTCAGCAGGAGGTTTGATGCTTAGGAAAGTCTTGAGATGGAGCACAGATTTGTGCCGCATATAGGAGTAAATTCTTGCTTGGATGGGGGATGGCCTTGCTTCTGTCTCATGTGCATTGGTGCTGTTGTGCAGGGTGACAGAAGAGGAGCAGCAGGTCTTGCCCAATTTCAGTCCGTGTTCTCCTGGTGCTTTGGTGGGCGTTGCCCATGCATGGTGACAGGGATGTGCCCAGCGGGGTGTTTGCTCAGGCAGTGTCCTTCATGCTAGGATAGCTAGGAATCGTGGAGTCTTGCTGGAGTTCAAGTGAACTGTATAATTAGCATTATTTTAGTTTCCATTCGGTTCTAATAGTACCAGGAGGCCGTTTCTACTTTGCATAACTTACTAGAAAAGGTTTTTTTACTTTCCTACATGTACACGTTAAATAGAAGAACATGTGGTTCTCTCTGTCAGGCGACAGCATGCTCTCTGTTTTCCAGTGTCATGACCAGCAAGTGTGAAATCTGCATCAAAATGCTTTTCCCAAGCATCTTTTAGGCTGACTTGGGAGAAGTACTGCTGTGTGTTCTGGATGCTCATACCTGAGCTCAGGGCAGATGCCTGCTCTGGTCCCCACTTGTGTCAACAGACTTTTTCCTTTGAGTTTGGTAGTAGTTGAACTGGGGAAGTGATCTGAGAAATCTTCCAGTGTGAAGGATGTGAGGTAGGAATGGATGGGAGGAAGCCTAAGTGATATGAGGGAAGCAGCAGGCTAGAAAGAAGGTCCAATAAAATCAAATAACAAAACACACCCATAAAACTGCAGGACAAGTTTGAAAGAGTAGCTTGATGTTTACATGCTTGGCACAGCTTTCATTTCTAATTTGTCTTCCTTCCTTCAGGCATCCTGCTGCCAGAGAGGTGGTCTGTGTGCCTGCTCTCTGCAGCTGGAGAGTCCCTGGTCTAGTCATGCCAATGATGGCAGAGGGCCATAGCCAAGGGAGATAACAGTCTTCCCCATAGCAGTCATTACCCTTGGGTGAGTGTGCTTGGCTGGCTTTCGAGATCATAGGTTTCAGGCAGTAGGGCATTAGAAATTTTATAGGCTATTAAATATATTCTTGGAGCATTTGGCTGCACTAAACACAGCTTTTAATAGAGTTCAGATTTGAGATTTTTGGGACAGAGAGGGTTTGGACATAAACTTCGTTAATTTGGTTTTGAAAAGGGAAGTTCTTTCATGCTTTGAAGGAAAAAAAGACTATGCAGACAGAGCTGCAAGTCTCTTCCTTAAATCAGAGTTTTCTGCCTGAAATGGGAACAACTCAGCAGAACAGTTTAAGTAAACATGGCCATAGCTGCTTATCTGAGACACTGGCATCCTCTCTTCTGTGTTTTTTTTTTTTTTTTTGTGGTATCCTGGCATCACTTAGTCAGTGATGTGTTTGTTCTCACAGAACCTCCTTCACAGGCATATACTTTTACATCCAGTATTTGAGGCTTCATCTGAACGGCTCATTCCAGGAGCATAAGTTTTCTACACCTATGTAGATGAGATTTTTTAATTGCTGTTTGAAAGGTCTTTCCCCCTCCAGCCCCCAGTTTCTTTCTACCTCTGTCATGGCTTCTACATTTATTGTGGGTGAAAAAACAGGCAACTGTTCCTGAGTCATCTCAAGTTAGTGTTCAGCAGAGAACAGGATAAAATCTAGGCCAGAGATGGCAAGTGACTGGTGGTGTCCAATTGTAGTCTATGTGTGGAGTATGTGCATGTAGTATTAACACTTGGAGACTTGCTGAAAATCACGTATGTATGTGAGAGGGCAGGGAGTTAGGTACTGTGCTCTAAAGCTTGTGTGTGAGCATGGGATCATTTTCTTCTGCTAGGTAGAAAAAATGCACCATACTGTGAGAATGGCTTATTGATGCCTGACAGTGCAGCTTGGGTGGGTTTTGCCTGTGTGTGTTAAAATACTGTAGACTCACACTAGGTCTCTTATCCAGGGAGCACTGCCACATGTAGGTAACATTTGTGCACTCCAAGGTACTGAATTAAAACTTCATTACTCAAAATACTCTTGAGTATTTTGCTTTTGTGACCAGCTTCTAAAGGACCAATTTGTTTTAATTTGTACATAAACAACAAAAACATTTTAGTTACAGAATGTAGGATAGTAATTCGATAGGTCTAGTAAATAAAACACTCCTGTATTTGGTAGAGTAATTCTGCATATTCTGTAGCATATTCTTTAAAGTTATGGAAGAATAAGAAATGAGAAGTGAGAGAAGCTTTTTTTTTGACAAGAATTAATATGTATACATTTATGAGGCTCTAGTATTTGTTCTTCCTCTTTCTGACTATGTTATAAGGAATAAAATCGATTAATAAAAAAAAAAAGAGAGAAAAGGAATACTGTGCCCCTCTCTCTGCCAGTTCCATCACGCTTCAAGCAGCAATGCATCAGGACATGGGAAGTGATCTCAGCCTTACTTTTAGTTATATTTTTAAAAAAGGTGTGTCTTGGTGAAATGGTCTCCAAAATTATAAAGCTAGTACACATGCAGGTGTAAGTATCTTGCGCTGTTGATGCCAATCTAGTACATAAAGAGCTTCACAACTGTTTGGATTTACTCTTCTTTCATAATGGGCTGTAACTTGTTTACTAATGCTTGAAAGCATGTACGCATCAAATAAATCTCTGGTATTTGGGCCATAGTGTACCAGCATTAGGCAAAAGGAAGATTAGCCACACTCTATATTAAGCTATGATCCACTTTACTCTTGATTCCTAGCTATACTAAAACAATCAAACCATCAAAGAACAAAATTAGTGGAAGGATTCCTCAGACAATAGATTTATTTCCATGTTTATTTGCATTATTGTTAAGAAAAGGGCAATCAGAAGAGCAAATCTCTTTGGGGCTCAGGGCATTACGAATTAGTCATAAGATACGAAGTGAGCTTTTGGGTGTGGAAAACTAGCAACAGATGGAAATGCTAAATAGCTGCATCGTATGGTGTTGCTGCAACAGCTGAGAGACAGTACACATGCTTTGAGTGCTGGTGCTGTCCATAGATGGTCTTTAGCAAGCATTGGAACTAGATGATCTTAAGGTCCTTTCCAACCCTAACTGTTCTATGATTCTGTGATTCTATTGTATTGGCAAATCTGACACAGAATGAATTTGCCACAGTGACTCAAAAGACTTTCCTAACATGAAGCATCTTTATTGCATATCATTTTAGCTCTTTCCTGTTTTTACTCTGCTCTCTTTCAGTGAAAAGGTCAAGAAAAGCAGTAGCTCAGTGGCTGAATTTTTCAGAAGTGCTTTACAGTGGGGAAAGTGGGGAAACCTCTTAAAGTGGTGTCTTACTCAGTAAGTTAAGCCTTTTGTTCCTCAGTTAATTTATTTTCCCTATTTTTTGTTGATTATTATGTATCAGATTAATTACAGGGACTTTTAAGGTATCTCCAGGCAGGTACGGAACTCCATTTCAACTTTTCCTCTCCCCTAGAGTTAGCCTTTGCTGTATGAAACCTGTCAGCCCACCTTGCTAGACATGGTAATGTTGAGTCAACTCTGTAGTTCTGTAACGTGACTGCCCATCTGCAGTGAATGTGTTTGGTTGCTGTATTCTGGTTTGGAGGATTACAGTGTGCCTCTGACTTCTTCACTTTCTCTGCACATGTGTGTGCATGAACCTACACACTTGAATAACACTCTCCCTTTGCCATTGAACTCTGAAAGCCACCAGCTGCATTAGCTGAGATTTTCAAAGCTCAGAACATGAGCTTTGTAAGCAGTAAGCTAGGTATACTCGATACTGCTATCATGCTAAGGAATTAAAAAAGAGAGAACTCTATACTTTACAGTAAAAGACAGAAATGAAGGCATACAGGAAGATTTTCTTGATGAACCTACAGTTTCAGCTTGTGCTGGTGCCTTACTGTTGATTCAGATTGAATGTCAGGGCCTTAGGAAGTTAAGTGCTGAATATTCAAATGTAATTTGTAGCATTAAATGAGGACGGCTTATAAGTTTAACTAGCCTTAAGGGTGCTAAGTATTTCCAGCTGAGGCCAAAAAGACTTTCAGCTGGTCAGCAGTTCTTGTGATCGGGCCTGATCCTACTTACTGTACTTTTCTTGCACACCTGGTATTGCTGCATTTTTCACAGGTACGAATTTCTTTGCACACATCTTTTCATGCCTCATTTGCTAACTCTTCTGTTCTGCAGAATTGGCAGGATGACAGCAAGCAACTCCCTCATCCTTTTGTGTCAGGACTAATCCTCAGGGTTCTTTCTGATGTGTCTCCAGAAATACATATTCAGCTTAGGCTGAATGCTGATTTGATTTGTAGTATTAAAATGTGGACAGTGCAGATCACTTTCTGAATATTTTCTGTCTCTTGAAAAGAAACTGTTGTAGAGGTGTACATGAACAGTTCCAGAGTTTTAAGGTCTCTGTCACATAAAAAATGTTTTTTAAAATACGGCTCCACTTTAGCGCATGCCTAAGTACTTTGCTAAATCTCTACATTTGGCTTCATTTAGCATAGTTGGAGCTTTGCAAGTAACAGTTAGCTGACCAGTCATTTAACAAGTTGTGGTACTTTAGTGCTTACAATTTAGTTACTCTGCTTTAGTGTGATAGACAGATTTTTATTTTGATTTCAGATTATATAGCTTGTTTTTACTTCAGTCTTCTTTTACTCGAGGTATGATTTAATTGAAATTTAGTTGCAATGATTGATAGTTGCTTTATTTGATACCTGTTTGTAAGCATTAATTTGCTACTTTTTCAGCATACTGATATTTGTCAGAAAAGAATGATACTATTTCTTTTGTCAATGAAAATGAGGCTATAAATGACTGTAATTTGGGATATGTTTCTGGTATGAGCAAACAGTATTCCCTTGGTGAGTTTTATGCTATGGAAAACTGGGTTATTGTATTTTAGAAAAGACCTGTATTCCTCTAAAGAGGAGTGGCATTGTGCAATTCCTGGAAAATATAAGAAGAATCTAAATGTATGTGTATTTGTATTCAAAGTACGCCTCAGTATCTGCCATGTTGTTCCTCCTGGTTCATGCAAGGGACTGGAAATGGTTGGTTGCAGGTTCTGTTCCTGATTTTTGTTATTTTTATTTACCCCAGTTTCATAGGTCATGAGATGAATGATTGAACTCTCTGCACCTTAGTGCAGTCACTGGCCAGGTTCTTCTCAGAGCTACCCTGTGCCTGCCCCTGGTGCGGCTCTGTTAGGTCCTGAGCCGGTGATACCCGCAGGCACCAAAGATGAAAATAAGTTGCACAGATGTGCTACTTTGTATTTTACAAACAAGTACAAAAGGATTTACCAAAATTACAACTCGAGAGTAAGCTGTGGGAGGAGGGAGATACAATGTATTCTTTCCTGCTAAAATGACAGTGTTAACATTCTTGGCAGCATCACGGAGCTCCATGATAACTTCCGGTTTACAGTTGAAAAATGCACCAAATAGCATATACTGTTTAATTCTGGGTTGCATTACACAACAGAAATTGATTGCCTCAGTGAAGCACATCTGCGTTGCGAGAGTAAACCCTCCTGGGAAGCAAGCGCATCTTCCGCAGAAGTTGGAGTGAGGCATGGCCAGGGCATTGCTATTTTGGCAAGCAAAGGGAGCCAGTGTTGGAAAGCTGCCTCACCTTTCACTTTCCATGGAACTTACCCTTTCTCCCCATTTCAGACAACAGCCACTGCCACTTGCTTCTCCTGGTGCTGGTGGGGGCCTGGGGATGCTTTCTGTGGTTGATTAAAGCATGAATATGGGTTTTGAGAGCCATGAAGATGTCTTCGCTGTCTGTCTGGCTTGTTTGTGATCCCTGAGGAGGATAGGCTATTAAGGAGCAATAATGCAATTATTAAGTAAGGAATGCAATTCAAAAATCATCTGGAAGAACTAAGAAAATGTTTTGATTTTTATTTAAAAAACCCAACCAACCAAACCAAACCAAGCTAAATCCACACCTCTGCGGGAGTATCTTCTTTAACTCATAGGTTGGCAGTAGTTGATGACAGGTACAAAATTCCTGTCATTTTTATACTGTTTCATTTGGCTTCTTCCAAGCCTCTTGCTTGCTGGAAGCAAACTCGGGCTCCTGCTGTCTCAGTTCAGCTAAAGTTCTTCTGTCAGCCTAAAGCTTGGTTATTAACCCTCATATTCCTCTTTTCAGCATGCATTATTTTTTTATGGCAGTGTTGAGCAAAGACTCTCCAACAGCACCCGTGACAATGTAATTGGACCTCTCTAATAGAAATTACTCCCTCTTTAATAGGGGGCTGTGGATGCTTTCTTTGAAGCAGGCTGGGGGTCTGGTCAGCCAGTCTGAAATGTGGGTGCACAGAATTTCACCTGGCACTATAAGTAGTTATTCATGATTTGCTGTTAAACTGCAAGACTGGAGTGAGATTCCCCATGGGGCTGTCCTGGCTTTGGTAATACTCACTGTTTTCATTATTGAAATGACTGATGGAGCAGAGACAGCAGTTATTAAATTTACATAGGATAAGAAGCATGAAGGGGCTGCAGGCTCCTTGGAGAGTAGGCTTAAAGTTTAGACCTGCCCTGGCTAAGTGGAGGGGTAGTTTGGGTTAAAAAATACCAGGATACAAACTTAGAAGCAGCATACAGGGATAGTTGCATGGCATAGGATGGAGAATGGCTGACTCACTAGTGGTCCTACAGAAGATTTGTGAGCTGGAATTGGGATGTGCTGGAGGCAATTTGGCCTGGTTTAGTTGAATAGGGTGTTCAAAATCACAGCTGGTTCCCAGACCACCAGTGAAAACTAGCCTGCAGCATGTCCTGCTCTCCAGTCCCCTTGGGAGCTGGGCTGCCAGTGCTCTGCTGAGTGGGCAGCTCATCCTTCCCTTCTCTGCTTGCTTCCACTCCAACCCTGGAGATGGCAGCCCTGCAGCTCCATCATGAGCACCTGCAGGGAAGAGCCCCAGCTCCTCCAGGCCTCATCCATGTGTGCAGGACAGTGCATGTGAAGGGGATCATAGACCTGAGACTGTGGGTGTCGTACAGTTGTACAAGGAACAAGGTTTACCCATCCCTGCCCCTCAAAAAAGCACTGTTTTGGGTTGTGTAAAGAAAAGGTACAAAATAACCCATCCACTCCACTCAGTATTGGAAATGGCTCAACATCTAGTTCGGGGCACAACATAGTCAAGAGCCAGCTGGATGGCATCCAGGGAGAAGACAGTGAAAATGATCAAAGATTTGGAAAGCATGACCTGGGAAAGAACATGAAAGAAATGAGATTGTTTAGTCTACAGGCAAGAAGGCCAGTAACAGATGTGATAGAAGTTTTCAAGTATGTGGAAGGTTCCTACAGGGAGAAAGGGAATAAATTGTACTGCACAACTGCAGGGTTTAGGATGAGAAGAAATGCACTTAATTCGGAGGTGGCTAGGCTTAAGTAAACACTTAAGAAAACTTTCAAGTGATAAGGGTATTTTGATGCTGTAGTTATTTGTCTTTGGGAAAGCCATGGAAGCATCGTCACTGGAGGTTTTTATAAAACAGATGAACCTCCTCCAGGAATATTTTGGGCGCTGCTTCGGGGAAGGAGGTGGAACACATGCTTCTGAAGGTCATTTCCCAGGAAATAATGAAGATTATTACTTTTTGTAATCCTGTGGACTTGGGTAATCTCAAATAACCCAACAAATAACTCCAAAGATAGTGGCAGTTTGTTATTGCAGCATATCACTGGTAAATAGACAGCTGATTTATGCACAAAAGAGCGGTGACATCCTTCTGCTCTCTGTTTTTTGTTTTGTTTTGTTTTTTTTTTTAAAGAAACAATCTGAGTAAGCTAATTTTACTGGAACATTTCAAAAGGCTGTTCCTGTAAATATATTACTCTGTCCAGAAATAGAGGAAGTAATGTTGGTTGGCTGTGCTTATTGAAGTATTGTGCAAACACAATCAGTACTCGCTAATACATAGAGTGGCCGTAGTAAAGCCAGCAGTACTCCATGAGGCATAAGAGAACAAAAAAGTATATAACATTTTGAAACACAGCTTCCCCTGTTCCCCTTGCTGGGCAGGGCAGGGAAGATCAGGTCTGTGCTGCTACAGACTGTGGGAACAGCCTAGGTGGTAGTTTCTGCAGGACACATGTAGGAGACTTTCATGAGTTGGTAGGGCCAGGAAGTTTGGGTCTAGTGAGAGCAGCCAGGCTCCTTGTTTCCTAGTGCAGCTCTAGGCTTGAAAGCACTGAGCGGTGTTTTGTCACTGTCATCCTGGGACTAAGAGCACTGGCGGAGAATGGTGCAGAGTCACCATCTGCCCAGCACGGATCTAGCAAGGCTTATCGTA